CCCTGTGCACTGTAAGACCAGGTCCTCGGTCCCCTCCATCCTGGCCGTCTCCCTGGGGAGAACCACCTCTCTCGGGCTCTCTACCCACAGGGCTCAAGGATGGACATGGCCTGGCAGCCACAGTCCCCATCACAGCAGCTGCTTGAGGTTTGGGCGTGTGACCCAAGGTTGGCCAGCGAGAGTTCCCTCCTGGAAATGTTAGCAAAATGTCTTTCTGCTAGGCTTTCGGTCTTGGTAGAATGCTGATCTGGTATCGTCCAGAGCCACCTCCCTGAGAATGGTGCCAACTTAGGAAAAGAGGAAATGGAGAGAGACCCGTCACAGGGTCACCCTTGGAGCCCAAGGCTTTTCCATCCATCACATGAGTCAGTCTAGCCCCTGTCCCGCTCAGAGCACGTGCAGTGGGGCTCCATCACCGGAAGGGCTGCGGTGCCCAACATTCCCCACCCAGAAACTCTTCCGATCACCTCCGTTCTCTGCCTTAATCCTACCCACCTCAAGTTCTGCTTTCCTGAAAATCCTGTCTTTTGTGCCCAAACCACACCTCTAATCTCTCTGCCTTTCCCCGCTTCATGCCAGTAGCTTGGCCCCAAGCCCTTCAGGCTCCCACCAGCGCACAGTAGGGTCCTCCCTACTTTTGCCTTGGCCACCCCTGCGGAGATTCACATCAGGTCTGTTCTCCCTTGGGTCCCCTCAGTGCCCCCTCCCCCCAGCTCTTGTCCAGAGCCAGACTCCATGTTCCAGCAATCCTGGTTGGCCCCAGCCCCTCACTGCTGCGGCTTCTTCCTAGTCCTCCGACCTGCCAAGCTGTCCCCAGTGAAGAGCTTGACTCACCCATTCACTCGGCCATGCATTCCCAGCTGAGGATGCTGCAGCCCAAAGAACACAAAACACCTGCTCCAGAGCCCCCAGCCGAATGAGATGGGACTCAGGCCTCTGAAGGGTACTAAGTCTGCCCAGTGTGGTGGGTTTTCCCACCATAAGATATGGGAGGTGCTTTAACCCCAGGACCAGGGCTGACCGTAAGCCTAGACCAGTCATTCCCCTTTCCTGGTCCTGGTTTCCTCATCTGTAAAATTCATTCACTCATTCACTCATTTGTTCGTTCATCCAAGAGGCATCTGCTGAGTGCTCACAACATGCCAGAAACTTCTTAGATATCTGTGGGGCAGCAGTGCGTGAAGCGGGTACCTCCCACTGGGGGTCCGCCATCTTGAGGAGCACTCAGGCGGAGAGCACAGCAGGTGAGCTGCAAGAGGAACAACAAAGCAGGCCTTGGCTGGAGGGAATGGCCAGGCCTGTAGGTGGGAAATATGGGTGCAGGTAGCTCGGAAGGCTCTCCAGTGAGGTGACATTTGGGCAGAGTGAGCCTGGCAGATCTGTGGGGGAAGGCGCCCGCGGAAGGAGGGACACCAGGGGAAAGGCTCAGAGGCAGGAGGAGCAGCCGGGGTGCTAAAGGAAGCCAAAGCAAGCAGAGGAGGCCAAAGACTTAATGGGCCAGACACGGGGGCCCTTAAGAGCCATGGGGCAGGTATGTGTTTCTTTTGTCTACAGTAAGAAATTTCCACCAGCTCTGGGCTTGAAATTCAGAAGTCTAAATCACAAATTCAGAAGTCTAAATCAAGGTTTAGAGGATCCATTTCCTCACTTTGCCCAGATTCTGGAAGCTTCCTCTTCCTTTGGCTCATGGCTGCACATCACATACCATCTTCCTTCTTCCTCTGACCTGCTTGCCTCCCTCCTAGAAGGACCCGTGTGATGACCGTGAGACAACCCCAGATCCCCTCCTCCCCTCACACTCCTTCCTCTAACCACATCTGCAAGGCCCCTATTGCCGCATGAGGGGCAAAGTCACAGGATGTAGGAATTAGGGTGAAGAGATTTTGGGGGAGTGAAGGGAAGGACATTATTCTGCCGACGCACGGTGACATGGGACCATCAGCGGCTCCTACAGGCATCCAGTGAGTGGCCATGTGGGGCCTAAGAAGTGGTGAGGGGCGGTTGGGTTGCACATGGTCTGAGGACAAAAGGATGTGCTCTCCTGTGAGCCCCGGGGCATGATGGGAAGAGTGAAGTCGGGGATGATGGCCAGTGTTGAGCTTGGGGAAAGATGGAGCTGTCACTGACATGGATGTGGGGAGGTGAGGAAGACAGGAGCCTGCTTTCAGGCAGGCTGAGCGGTAGATGCCCGTGGAGCCTCTGAGGAAGGAGGCAGCAGGCCAGGCTGCAGGACACAGGAAGAACCCCCGGGAGGAGCGAGCAGGAGCCAGGCCGTGGCCTGAGTGGACCTCCTTGGGACACGTGGAGACACACAGGAAGAAGTCAGGTCTTAGCACCAGGCTTGGTTAGGTTTTCAGGTGGGACAGAGGAGAAGTCGGCAAAGAGCAGCAGCAGCAGCGTAAGGAGGAAGAGGAAGGAAGAACATGGAGTCTCAGGAGCCAAGCAAAGGCTGAACTTCAAGCAGGAGCGGGTGGCACCTGTGTTCAGCACCCAGGGTTCCAGGGGTCAGGCATAAGGACCGACCCTGGGGTGTGGTGATGTGGAGGTCGACAGAGATCCTGACAAGAGCTGTACTACAGAAGGATTGACTTGTGCTCACCCAAAAACACTGTATGATGAATCCCTAACCCCCAGTGTGTCTATATTTGGATATAGGACCACTAAGAAAATAAGCTAAATGAGGTCATAAGGGTGGGGCCCTTATCCGACAGTTAGTGCCCTTAGAAGACAAGGACATGTGGGGACACAGGGAGGAGGCAGCTGTCTGTAAGCTGAGACAGGAGCCCTCACCACAATCCAAATTGGCGGAACCTTGATCTTGGACTTCAGTCTCCAAAACTGTGAGGATTTCTGTTTGTTGAAGCCACCCCGTCTGTGGCTTCTTTTTTATGACAGCCTGAGCTGACTAAGGCAAGCTGTTTGGGCAGCATGGAGGGGTAAAGCCGGGCTGGAGTGGGCTCCGGAGAGAAAAAGGAGGCGAGGGTTTGGAGCATGAGCATCTTTTCCAAGAATGTCACTGTCGAGGGAGCCGAGCATGGGGAACAGGGTGGTGGGCGGGGAGGGGTTGTTTCTAGAAGGCTGATGCTGAGCTTGCTTGGTTTACAGAGGGGAGGTGACAAGGCCAGAGGGTGACAACCTACCACTGCGGGCAGGGGCTGCCCGGGAATGGCAAAGAGAGGGACAGTTTCCAGGTTGGTCCCACAGGGTAGTAACAGGGGGAGGCCCGAGCACCTGGGTACCCTGTACCAGTGAGCTATGGGGCAGGGACCCAGTGTCTCAGTGAGCAGGGAGCAAGCAGAGGGTGAAGATGGGGGTGACCTGGGGAGTTAGGAATAGAGGAATGTGAATGAGCCGGTAAGGGACGGAGAGAGGAGAGGCTGTTGCTCTTCTTTAAAGGGAGACAACCCCTGGGGGCTGAGAAGGATCCCAAGGACCCAGCGGGTATGGACCAGAGCTGGGCTCTCCCATCTCCAACCTCACTTGTAACCCATGGGCTCATCTGTGTGTGTGTCTCCAGGTCCCAGGCCTGGGCAGGGGCCGCGGCTCTGTACACCCTCGGGGTCTGAGCCCCTCGCCCATCTTCAAGCTGTAAGGGAAGGTGTGCAAGCCCATGTGCGTGTCCATGTCTGTGGCCACAAGGAACAGCTGCAGCTTCCTCCGGTTGACCACTCAGAGCTCCTTGGTGGCCACATATCACCCTGGGATGCCCCTGCTGTCTGCCCACCACACCCTGTCTTTGCCAGGTGCTGTGCCCACCATACCTGGAGCTGCCCCGCCTCACCCTGTCGGTGCTGGGCACACGGCCAGCCTGTCACCTGCCACCCCTTCCACAGCTCCAGCCCAGCAGCCCTTCCCAGGTCTCCCAGTACCAGGCTGGCTGAAGGCCTGGGAGCAGCAGGCGGGGCTCCCCAGGTCGGCCAGCGCATGTTCCTGCCGTCTCCCTTTCACACTTCCCCTTCCTGCAGCCCGGCTCCACTCTCGGGTCTCCCCCAGTCTCATTTCTGCTCTCCCCCGTCACCTCTCAAGGCCAGCAGGGTGGGCGTTGCCCAGATGGGGATGCCAGCCTTGTAGTAGGATAAGTAGCGCCCTAGAGTTTTGTGAAGGTGGCGGCAAGCTCCCCTCACTGGCTCCTCTCTGTCCTTTCTGCCTGCTCCAAAAACACAACCACAAGCCCTAAGACCCTCTTCAGATCCTGCGGGGAGGGGATCAGTGGACAGGCTGTGCTGGCCTCAGGGACCCTGCACACATGCATATGCACAACACATTCGCGCACACACATACACACATGGACACGGACAGCTAAAGATGGAGGGGAAGGGCAAGCACGCCACCCCTGCCGCCAGCCCTTTTCCCACATGGTCCCCATTTCCTGCTCCCCACCCACGCACAGCCGGATGGGACCAGGAAAAGGACATCCGGTAAACGTTTCGCTCACAGACATGGGCTCCTCCACAAGGTCCGTGGGGGCTCTGCCGTGGCCCCTCTGTAAGGCCATGCCCCGGGAGACCCCCTCCACCCCTGTGCCTCTCGAGGGGCAACCCTGAGCCACTGTCCCTCTTGGCACTCACAGTCAGATGGACAGTTGTCTCTCTTCAGCCTGCTTCTGGGTTGAGACATGAGTCAGCAGGCAGCTGCAGGGTTGGGGGGTGGCAGGCAGGGGACACCAAGGCCACCACCCCATGGGCCACCATACGCAGCTTCAGGGTCAGGTGAGCAAGCGGGACCCTTCCCGGATGCTCAGGCCGGGCATGGTGCTGGCCACAGGGAGGTGGCAGGAAGATGGTGGGGCGCTTTCTGCAGCTCCCTCTCCAGCCAGGAGCTCCAGCGGGCCATCTGGCGGCCCACAGCCTCCACCTCCTCCACCTTCAGCCGTTTGACCTTGACCGCTTGAGGACAATAGGGTTTCCTGGTGACCACTGGGCTGTGGGTCACACAGACCTGGCTGGCATCCCAGCTCTGCCTGATCACGTCACTCTGAAGGACTAGGAGCCTCCCTCTCCAGTCCCCACGGCAGGGCCAGAACGTTCCCTCTTGAGACTGCTGGGCATATTAACAGAGGTGGTGCATGTGAAGGGTTTCCTCCTTCCTTCCTCTTGAGCACAGGGCCCGGGTGCCCAGGACACACCGAGAGCCCACTGAGGGAGGACAGCTGCAGAGTGCTGTGCCAGGTAAGCTGGGCAGACGTCCCAGTCCCACTCTGCTCTACATGGGGGAGGGGGCGAGAGGGTGGGCGAGGAGGAGTGGGTGCACTGGGTGTAGGGCCTGTCTCACCCCTGTGCTAGGTCTGCAGGGGCCCAGAAGGCCTCTCCTCGCCTTGGCCTCCTCTGGGCTGAGGCCCCTGGGGGACCTGAGGCCTAGTGAGGTGCAGGCCCACAGCGGCCTGGGGCAGCACCTTGAGGGCCACAGGCTCGGGCTGCAGGGCCACCTGGGCTGGAGTTGGAATCTGAGCCTGGCCACCCTGTCTGTGAGGAAATGCAGGCCAGTTACTAGTCCTTCCTCAGTCTCAGTTTCCTTCTCTGCCACATGGGAGAACAACATCTGCAAAGATCTGACGTATGTCCAACCCAGCCACACACTGGGCACACAGCCCGTACTGCCCTGGAGCCAAGCCCTGCCCTCCAGGCAGCGCCCTGAAGGGTCCACCCCAGGCCACACAGGAAGAAGGGAACCCAGCCTGGGCCTCGGCCTTATCTGCGGCCCTGTAGGCCTTCGGCTACACCCAGGGAGGGATGACTCCCAGAGTGTGGAGCCATCCCCTCAAATCCACCCTGCAGCTCCTGGGCACCAGCTCAGCATGAAACCATCCAAGCAGCAGCTAGGCCTTCCCTGGTCAGCTGCTGTGATCCCACACGCCAAGTGCCAGACCCAGGGACCCAGCCAGAGGGGATGGGGGGTGGCTGGGGACTGGGGAGATGGACCACAAACAGAAGTGAGAGTGAGTAAGATCATAAGATGCAGGGAGAATGACCCAGAGCAAGTTTTAAGGGGTTTGGGAGGGCTACTTTAGATCAGGTGGTCAGGAAGCATCTCTGCAAAGGGGTAACACTGAGTGACGAGAAGGTGCCCACGGTGGCAGAGTCTGGGGTTCTCTGTCTTTTAGAGCCATCTTCAGCAAATGTTCGAGGAGCCTGAGGTTCTACCACTCTCCACCGGTAACCAGGACCAGAGTGTGCTGAAGACCAGCCTGCCCTCACATCACCAACAAGGATCCAACCCCATGAGGAAGATAAAGCATCTCCCAAGCTGAAAGTATGAAATCTCTTCATTTAAAAATATGTAACTAATTTAATTTTGCAACTATTTGTATGTTGTTGACAGTAGCTTTTAAATCAATACAATTAAATAAGAAATGAAAGGAGCTCAAAACCAGTGAGACTTCCCAGCACAGCGCTTTCAAATTCTCCAGCTCTCTACTTTGTAGATACAGTAGTACAGTATTTTACCAATGATACTTCACTGTTTTTTAAATCTTGGCCAAGCTGTTCTTTGGGCCGGGGCTGCTCCTATCTGTACTGGCGATGGAGCTCCCGAGTAGGGGAGAAGCTGGGCCCCAGCTATGCTTTGGATATGGTTGCAATGTCCTCCAAGAGGCCACTGTTACGAAAGTCTCTGCTCTGCAGGCCAGGCTATTTGGAGGTGGTGGATCCTTTGGGAGGCGGGGCCTGTGGGAGGCGGGGCCTTGGGCGGGGCCTGGTGAGAGGTCCCTAGCCTTTTGGAGGGGCGGGCCCAAGAAGGTGTCAGTGCTTTCTACTTCCGGTTAGAGAGCTGGCCTCTGCCCTGACTTGTGCCTTTCCACTGCAATCTGCCTTTTCCGTGAGATCCTCAGGAGAACTGAGGAGATTGAGGCACTTGCCCTTGAAGCTCCAAAACTGTGAGCTAAATAAACCTCTTTTATTAAGTTAGCTGCCTTGAGTGTTTCATTGTGACACAAAACTGATTCCTACAGTCACCTACGGCTCTGTTTGGTTCTGTTTTTTTCAATAGCGTGCAGCTTTTCGTTTTCTTTCATGATCATGAAGTACATATCCACCATGGTAGTTTCCTGCTGCTGCTGTAATAAACTGCCACAAAACTTAGTACCTTAAAAACCACACTAATTTTTTATTCTACAGTTCTGGAAGTCAGAAGTCCGAAATGGTTCTTAAGTGGTAAAATCAAGGTGACAGCAGAGCTGTGCTCCTTCTGGATGTCATAGGGAGACTCTGCCCTTTGCCGCTCGGGGTTTGTTGCTTTCCCCGACTGTCCTCCACCCTCTTTCATTTGAAAGAACTTCGCGGCTACTTGCGGCCCTCATGGATCATCCGGGACAATCTCTCCACCTCAACGTCCTTCAGTTAGTCACATCTACAAAGTTCCTTTTGCCATGGAAGATGCATATTTACAGGTTCCAGAGGGTAGGATGTGGACATCTTCAGGGCCATTATTCCACCTGCCGAGGGACAATTTCCACCATGGACGCTTTCGGGAATATAAAGGTTTGTGTCATTCTGTTCTGCCGTCTTGTGTCCACCTTCTCAACATTTTGGCTTAATGCCTTCCAGCACTTTCCTATGAGTACATATTTCAATGATGTGACATCATACTACGTACAACACATTACAGACCTTTTCTCTTAATATTCTTTCTGTCATTAAAACTCTTTATGGCTAATTTAAAGACAGCTTTCTTCTATTACATGAAGGTACTGCGCATTATTTAATCCAAGTTCCACACTGTCATACCACGTACAGTGGGATAATGTGTGTCAGCTTGCATTTATTGTGTACCAGGCTTCGTTCTGAGTGGTTTACATATACCGACTCTTCTAATCCCCATGGCAACCCTGTACGGTGGATAGTGTTGCTATGGACACAAGTACAGGTGAGGAACCAAGGCTCCTTCGAGATGAAGGAACTTGCCAAAGGCTGGGGGTCACTAGAGGTGGACTTGCACCCAGGTGCCTGACTGCAGAACCCGCTCTTTTAGCTGCTCATGTACATATTTTTCTCCAGTGTCTTTGATTACTTATCATAACTTCCAGGAGGAATGTTAATCCACTAGCTCGTGTTTGTTTTTTGTTTTGTTTTGTTTTGTTTGTTTTTTTTCGGGTACCAGGAATCAAACTCATGACCTTGCGCTTGCCAGGCAGGCGCTGTGCCGCTGAGCTAAATCCCCGACCCCATAGCTCATGTTTATTAGCACACATTTGTTGTGTTTGCGACCAATTATCTCATTTAATCCTCACCCCATTAAGAAGTGTCAGGAAACTGACCAGAGCCAGGCTGGTTGGTTGAATTGCTAGTTTCTGCCCAGTGACTCTAGGAGTGGCCTATCAGGGGCAGTGATGACAACAAGTTCACCTTGCCAGATGAAACCCGGTGAATGGGAAGGGCAGGCAGACTGTCGCATTGGCAGCAGTGCCAAGGCAGCTACACAATCTGGCCAGGGCAGGGCCTGGCTGTCTAACATTTCAGGCACCGGTGAAATGGCTGGCAGAACAGGATTCTGGTGGCAGGTATGTGGACACAGAGCACAAGGCCCTAGTCCTAGGGCACCCCAGGTGTAGAGGGTTCTGGGCTCATTAGAGGCCTCTGTGCAATATGGCTACATGACATGGCTCATTTTGTATAGCTATAATAGAACACCACAGACTGGGAAGCCCAAGATGGCGGTGGAGGCTGGGAAGTCCAAGATGGTGGTGCATGGGTCTTCCAACTCTGTCAACCCGTGGCAGAAGGAAAAGAAAAGGGAGTGAGCAAGAGGAGCTGAACTCATCCTCTTGTAAGGAAGCTGTTCCCATAGTTACAGCACCAGTGCATGCTTGCTGAGAGAGCCCTCCTTGACTAATCATCTCTTGAGTCTGGGCCCCAGCTCGGTGTGGTGGTGCATTCCTGAAATCCCAGCACTCTGGAGGCTGAGGCAGGAGGATCACTGCGAGATGAAGGCCAACCTAAACTACACAATGAGACCCTGCCTCAAAAACAGTAACAAAAAAAGTCTGGGTCCTACCTCTTAATACTGTTATAATGGCGATCAAGTTCCTAACATTGACTTGAGGGTGTACTTAAGCCATAGAGCTACTCCATCCACATACCCTTAACCACACTAATTTTACTAGTGCACACACACACACAGCATTCCTCCTCTCCATGGTACTAATTAGCACAACCTCAAGCCCTCTGGGCCTGATGCAGTTGCTGAGCAGGTACTGGCTGCCTCCAGCCCCCTAGTTTCTGGTTAGTCTTTCTGGTGCCAACTGCCTGGCCCTGTGTGTGTATTCCTGATTAGAGTTCTTTAAATGTCAACTAATCAGCTCTAGTGCACATCAAAATCAAAACACCATGAAACACACATATACCCCGTCCTTGCTGCAGTGTATTAGACAAATTAGAGAAAGCGCAAAATGTAGACAGAGGGATTATCCCCATTTTATAAGTGGGAAAAGTAAGACTCGGGGGGATGAGATGACTCACCAAAGAATAACCTGTGTTCCATCCAGGATCTGGCGCCCCCTTGCCCCGTCCATGGCCTCCCTGTGGTACCAGAGCAAAAACCTTTGCATTTTGAGAGGGGGCGGGTACCAGGCATCGAACTCAGGACCTCACACTTGCCAGGCAGGTGCTCCACTGCTGAGCTGTATCCCCGGCCCTCCTCCTGCAAGTTTAAGGCTGACACTGTGTGCTCTTTGAGAAAAGAAAGGTCTTCCCCATGCTTGCTTCCCTGTTTGTGGAGGTGGCTGAGAGGACGGGTGACCTGCATGGCTCTCTCCATTGTCGTAGGGGGTCCTTGCCATGCATCTGCCCACCTGTCAACCAGTAGACACGCACTGAGCCTTTCCTTGAGCCAGGACACCCTTGCTGCTCATTCATGAATGAGTCACACCCCTCTCTGGGCCTCAGTTTCCTCTTCTGTATAATGGGTAGGAAAGATTTGGCCCAGTCACCCCAGATCCTTTGGAACCACTACTCTGCCAAGTTTAGAGATTCCTGGGCTCTCTCCCAGGTGGACAGTGGCAGGGTTGGGGACAAGGGGAAATGTCAGTGTGGCGGGCCTGGCATAGGTGTGCAAGGCAGAAAGTGAGGCTTGGGGAGCTCGATCTCCATGGTATGCACTGGAGATCAAAGAGAAGAGCACCAGAAGGGAAAAGCAGCGAATCAGCCGACACCACCTTAGCCAAGTGCTCGAGATCAGTGTCATGGCGGCTGCAGAGACACACGGTGGAACGCGCCCAGGATAAGTTGGGCTGAGCGGCACCTCTCATGGTCTCGTCGTGAGAAAACCTCAGACAAACTCAAATCAAGGATCTTCAGTAACCATGTGACTGCCACACCCCAAAATCGCCCAGACTGTGAGAAACAAGGACGTGCTGAGGACCAACACTGACTGCAAGGAGATGCAGATGGTAACCAAAGACAGTGCGGTCCAGGAGGGAACGGCCCGCTCATGCCATACACCACAGACACTGGAACACCATCTGCAGTTTCCTTAATAATCTCATGCAAGGTTGGTCCCTTAGTTATGACACGTGGACCAAGTAAAATACGGGCGACTATTACAGCAAAGTGACCAAGGGCTTTATGGGAACCCTCTGTATTATCTTTGCAACTTTTCAGTCAATCAAAAATTAGCCCAAAATTAAAAGATATTTGAAGAAATTGGACATAGTGGCACATGCCTGTAATTCCAGCACTCAGGAGGATCCCACGAGTTTGAGGCCAGCTTGGGCTACATTGTAGTGAGTACTTGTTCAAAAAACAAAAAACAGAAAAAGTTTACTTGAAGAAAAAGTGAGATTTGGATCAGTAAGCACATGATAAAATATTCAACATGAGGGAAATGGAAATCAAAAATGCACTGTGAGTCCATCTCACATCTGCTAGGATGACTGATCAGAAGGTCAAACAATAACAAGTGTTGGTGATGGTGTGTGGAAACTGGATTCCCATATACATAGCTGGGAATGTAAAATAAAATAACCACTTTGGAAAACATTATGATATTAAAAGTTAAGCATAAATTTGGCCAGGGATTACTCTCCTACTGTTTCCCCAAAGTAAAGGAAATATATATTCATACAAAGACAGGTACACAAATTTTATAGCACCTTTATTTGTAATATCCCCAAACTAGAAGCCCTTCAAACATCCATCAGCAGATGACTAAATAACCAAATGGTGATCTATCCTCCCCATGGGTACTATTCAGCGATGAAGGATGAATCATTGATTCATGCAATGACATGACTCCAAATAATGATGAGGCAGAGAGGCCAGTCAAAAGATAACTTACAGTCACCATGCCTGTAATCTCAGCACCCTGGGAGGCTGAAGCAGGAGGATTTCGAGTTTAAGCACAGTCTAGGCAACTTAGTGGGTTCAGGAAACACTGTCTCATGTCTCAACGTGTTGGAGTAAAGACCTCGGGTTCCCGCCTATAACATGGGGTAATCCTTGTGCCTCACACCCTTGAAGACTCCAGGCTGAGAAGGGACTGGGTGGGTCTTACCTGTGGCCCAAAGTCGTGAGCCCCTAAACTCCAGGCTGGGCAACCACAGGGGCCAGCAGATGTAGGGCACCTCCCAGCGTACGGCCTATTGAGAAGGGGTGGGTGGGAATCTGCTTATTCCCAATTTTTCTTCCGATAAAGAAAACACATGATGCTACATGTACTTTGGTGTTTTCGACACAATTGCCTAAAAATAGCCTGGGCCACCACAGCCCAATTCCTTTTTAGGAAGGGTTTGCACAGCCCTGCTGGTCCTGGCAGTTGGCTCAGGAAGTGGAGGCTCGGCCGGGTGGGGCCACGGGGACCCTGCCCTCACTCCGGCCGGGGCCACCTGGGCTTCCCACCGCCCTGAAAGGCAAGCCAGGCTGCCAGGAGCCAGGGCGGGGCAACAGAGCCTCCTCCTCCTCCCTCTCCCCAG